AAAAGAGAAAAAAAAAAGGGTGCATATTTTTTTAGGCAAAAATAATGTACATATTTTTAGGGAACTAAGTATAGTTTTAAATTGGAGGATTAATATCTGACTTACCCCCCTAAAAAATGACGGAAAAAACGCGCATACAAGACTCCCTTAGACATGGTCAAAATGTGTGTATTAGAGTGTGTGTTGAGTGTAAGTGACATGTTTGGACTCTTGTTTAAGACCATGGGACTTAGTGCCTAAACTCGATTAATGACTCAACCAAGTACTATTGACAGCAAAAATTAACCGAATTAATTAGTTAACTAGTTAATTAGACACTAGGTGATGACTCAACCAATAATCCGAACTGTCGGCAAAACGACAGGACTGGCGTCGCACTGTGAAGCGTAGCACCAGACGACAGAGCTATCACCATGCACCACACTCCATAGAGTGGCGCTACAGTCCAGACTTTGGCGCCAATGTTGGAGCTACAATCTGGAACTGTTTTCGGTGTTATTAATCAATAGGGGTATGCCTAAAGTCGTACTAGGTCAATTCTGATTAAAATATTAGACTTTATTGACTCAAATTAATTAATTAAATAATTAATTAGGCAAATTTCTTTAAGTCATTAATTTATTTAATCTCAACACAAGTCAAACAAACGGTTTAGAAAACATATAATATATGCACAACAAATAATGCACAATTAGTCAAGTAGGCACAGTATGATGCAATGGGTTTGCAACCTAACCATGGCTCTAGTTCTCTAAAGTTCGGGATATGGTTTAGTCAATAAAGGGTCCATGGCTAATGTCCAGATGCACCGCGCGGAAGCCTAACCGTGAAGGGTTGGCGCGAGTGGATGGGATACCGCGAGTTTTAGAAAAAACTCGCTTCCATGGTTTGGTGAATTCAACATTCTCGGATGTACCCTTTGTTGCTCAGAGCGTTCAATCAGGTAGATGGAGCATGAATTCCCAGAGGGTTATGTCCATATGTATAACACATATGGGTTTCAGAAAAGTGAGAAAAAGTTCAATCAGGAAGTAGGATCGAGCAAACAATACGAAAAACCGATCGAAATTAGAACACATATTTCTGGCTCGGTATTGGAAGAATTTGGCGCCAGCAAACAGAGACTGGTGCCAGGTTTTAGCTGTAGCGCCTGTCGCCAATGGTGCCACAGTTAAAAATCTGGCGCCAATGCTCTGGCCCCTAGCGCTAATTCCTACATGCCTCAGCAGCTTTCTGTGCTCGATAAAATTTTCCAGTTTCGCGCGGTGTTATTTCGGTCCTAGTTGTGAAAGATATTTCTCAAATTTCCTACGTGTAAAATCCTATGTTTTTAACTCATTACGGATGGTCTTTCCAATGAGATCTTTTTTATGCATATGACAATAATGTTAATCAAATTTACGCACATGAAATACTTAGAACGTTTCGAGTCTCATCCACTCATTCTAAATCATTGCCGAAACAAATTCAGGAATTAAAATAGAAATCCTCCCCAGCGTAGTCGCCAAAAAATGTAGGGAATAATTTCAAGCGTTAACCCCTAGCTTGAATCCCACTGTGATCATACACTAAAGTACGGTGGCGTCCAAAAGGGTAGAAGATAGAGCAAAAGAGTCGCCAACAAGTTTTAGGAACTTGTAAACCGTTCATAGGGTGAAGGTTACAACCCTTAATGATCCAAGAGATCGTCAACTCCATAAGGTCTTGAACCAAATAGGGTTCGGGGATGAAGGTACAAATCCAACCTAAAAGAGATTGAACCTGCCCTAATAATAGGCCTCTACTTTATTCAAATCGTATTCATGTGCGCTTTTTGACTAACATGCAATCAATAGGATTAACCCTAAACCTGTTTATCTATGTTGGTTGAATATTAATACACAAATAAATCTATTATTGGCAATCACTTGAATTATAATCAAATTAAACCTAACAATATTATTAAATATCTTATTAAGGGTGATTACAAGTACCAATTCCCTTTAAACATGCATAAAAGGCGTGATCAAGCAATAACAATAAAAGATCAAGCAACATAATAAATAATCTTTATAATAATAATTATAATTAAAATAATCACGTTAATAATCATACTCATGTCAATATTAAAGCATAGCAAAATCCTAGGCATGATACTAACAAGATTAATAACAAACTCTACCATGTCACTAAGCAATAAAAATCAAATCTTTAACCCTAACATGATACTAACAATCATAAATATTAGGAAGAACATAGGAAGCATCATACTTTTAATCATACTTGATATAAAATTTACCCTAGGCATGATATTAGGAATCATAATAAAAATCTAAGCATGATCTCTATATCATAACATCAATAAAAACCATTAAAGTACTTACTTTAATGTCTCGTACATCTTTCTAATAACAAAATACACGCGTTAGTAACTTCAAGGAAAATAATAAACAAAACAATTAAATTAAATAATGGAAATAGAGATTTGGGACCAAACCCTCAGAAATTAAACCTTTCACATCTAGGGCGAAGGCAACTTCGAATATGGCTAGGTGTTTCTAAATCTAATGAATGCAGAATTTTGTTTGTAAAAAGCTAGTTCAGAAAATCTTGATGAGAGTTGGTGAATGATTATTAAACAGAATAAGAGGGAATTGATGAAAACTGGTTGTAGGTGAATGAAAACGGAGTTTTTACGACGTTATTTATAAAGAAAATCAGCCAAAAAGATAAAATATCAATACAGAGTCTGGCGCACATGAAACAAGGTTGGCGCCAACGCTGGCTATTGGTGCCAGGCGCTGACCCTGGCGCCAAGAGCCAAGGCTAGCGCCAGGCGCCAAGCGTAGCGTCAGGCGCTACAGCTGGCGTTTGGCGCTGACCTGGAAATTCACACGTTTTCTTAAAATCAGATAAAAATTGCCGTACAGGAGGATAAAATCGTATTTCCCTCAAAAATTCTCTTTGATTTTAATTAAAACTCTGAAAAGTCAACAAAAGTCAATTTATCAATGCTAATTGAATTAGGAATGAAAAGAACCTTCTAGAAGACTAAAACCATTCCTAATTGCATTAGGAATGATAAATCATATTAGGCCCTCCTCTAGATCATTGGGCCGCATATAAGGCTCAAAACGGGTCCAGTTTAGTAAATTGGCCATAACTTCGTCAATATTCATCGGAATTGGGCTTATAATATATCGTTGGAAAGCTCCTGTCAAGCCCCATCCAACTACACTACTATTGGACCCATATCATGGACCAACCAAACTGGATTGGCTGTTTTCTTAAAAAAAATTCAAAAACAGGGAGAAGAGAAAAGAAATTAAAACTATCTGCAACACTAAACTTTCCACACTTTCACTTCATTCGATTATGATTCGACGTGAAAGGTATTCATCACTGTGTTTGGTTTTGGGGAGACACAAATGGGTGTCTACACATGGAACAGCCTCTGGAGTTGGATGTTGAGGAAGGTATCCTCGATGGGCAAGTTGCAGAAGTAGTGGATAGGATGGAAAGGGTTGAGAAAGAAATGAAGGATTCTGCTGGAAAACTTCAGATGCTAACCCTAGAAAAGCTTGTGCAGGAGCAGGGAAAGGAATTAAAAGAGCTCAAGAAGCTAGTGCTGAAACAAGACAAGGAACTTCAAGAGCAATAGAAGTTTCTGCAAGAACATGACAAGGCTCTTCAGGAACAGAAAGATGAGTTCCAGCAAAAATTCAAGAGTCTTGAAGACAACCTGGAGGCTTCTGCACAACAAACAAAGGATGACTATAAGAAAATTTTGAAGTTTCTTGAGACCTAGCCTATCAAATTCTCAATCTACCCCTTTCTAGCCTATATCCAGCCTAGCCTACTTTTTGCTTCTCTATTTCAGTCATGATCAATTTTAGTTTATGTTTTAGTTTTTGAACATTTAATTTTGGTTGTAATATTTTTAAAAATTGTTCAGCAGGATGTTTATTTTGGTTTTAATGAATGCTTTTGGAACTGCCGATACATGTGTGTATTTGTGAATTATGAAAATTGTTGTAGGAAAGTGGAACTTGCTTAAGGTAAATTAGCAGCTCTGCCTTTAGTTTCCCACACTCAATGAAATTCTTGTGGGGTTGTAGTTAGATGCTTTATAACCTTGAAAAAGCAGGACTTTTTGATAATGCCAAAAGGGAGAAAAGAAGAAGCAAACTTGGAAGCGAAAGTTGTTCTGGATTCCAGTTGATAAAGTATCATAAATTTTTTCTAATATGATGCTAAGTAGCTTAGTTTATTTCTTAGTCTTATTTATGTTTTGTTTTGTTTTGTTTATCTTTGCTTTCTTGTTTTCGTATTTTTAGTTATTTGTGTGTTTATCTTTTTGTTAATAAATCAAAAATACAAAAATAAGCCCTTCTATTTTGTTTAACTTTTCTCAAGAGTTTGCTTAAGTTTGTCATCATCAAAAAGGGGGAAATTGTTGAAGCTTAAAGGTTTTGATGATGAGGAACTTAAAATAAAGCAAACTCATCTAATAAAGGTTTTTAAGTGTTTGATTAGTTAGGTGTAGTTGATCGTGGTGATGGAAGAAGTAACTGGAACTAAGAAGACATGAGGAGATCTTTATACAAAAAGTTAAACAGAAAAGAAGAAGAGTTCTCTAACAAGAACTGAGTTCCATAGCAGGAACGTTCCCTAACAGGAACTTGAAGTCAGTAAGCTAAGGTCCCTGAAAGAACTTAGTCTGCGTGGATCCCAAGTAACTTACCTATACAGAAGCGCAGCGCAGCAATTTAATTTAGCTAAGCACTACCACAAAATAGAGAATAAGTAACACACAATACACAACTGCTAAGTTGGATAGGCGATCTCTAGAATTATATAGATCGCCTATTCAAGATAGGCGTTTTGTATGGAAAACCTATAGAGCGCCTGTCTAAGTTAACAGCTCTATATGATGTATTCAAATTTACACTAAATAATATGGAGCGCCTCTTTTACTTGAGCGTTGTATAGACATTATAATTTAATTTTTTTTTTTGAAAGTATCATATACCCACATAACCCTAAAATATACTTACTTCTTACGAGTATCAAATTAAAGCCGCCCCCTCCTTATCTTCTTCTCTTTCTCGCTCCTTCTCTTTCTCGATCTAAAATCATCATCCCCTCTCTCCTCTTCCTCTCCTCAAATCCCCACATACCATAGTCTAACTTCTCACGCCCATAAATCCACACACCGTAGGCAAGCTTTTCACGCCCACCATTGATCCACGAGCCACCATTGAGCCACGACTGTCCACCACCGAGCCGGGAGATGGCGATCAGAGCGTTTTGTAAGAGTTTTCAGTCAACTGATGTCTAATTCTTATTTCAATTTCGTTTTAATCCTTAATTACTTTAGTTCTCTAATTTGAGTAGTTTCTGATTTTCATCTTTAGATTTTTTTTCTAATTTTCAGTTATACTAGATCTTAAATTTATGATTTTCATTGTAAAATTACTTTAGATCTAGATTTTATGTTTGGTGCGATTTGTTTTAATTTTGTGCGCTGATGTTGTGGTTGTGGGTGTTTGGTGCGGTTGCTCTAATTCTGTGCCCCGATAGTGGAAGGCTGGAACTGGAAGCATTACTATGATGTTGGCAGGTTGGTTAGTTTGTATTTCTTCATTTTTTATATTTAGTTTCTTTAATTGTTTTGTTTGAACATATATGAGTTTACTTTAATTTCTTGTTGGATGAGATTTAATGTCTTAATTAAAATTGTATTAAGATTTATATTTGTTTGGGTGGATTATGAGTTTCTAGCGAGGACTTGATTCAGTGATGAAGTTGTATAAAATTCTCATTAAATTACATTATATTACATGTTTTTACAGATATTAGCATGGAAATTTGCTTGACTACAGCAGGCTTCACACAATCGACTTAATTTAGTTGTATTAGAGAAATTGTAATGTAAATGTCTTGTAAGAAATTTAGTTATTGTAATTCAAATACTATTTGTTATTTTAATTAATACTCGTACTACGTATAATATTATTGTGTACTCCGTATTAATTATTATTATTATAATAAAAATAATAATAATAGAATAATTTTTTTTAAAAAAAAAATTAAGGAAAATAGAACGCCTATCTGTGATAGGCGCTCTCTTTTTATAGAGCTATAAAGCGCCTTTTTTAAGGATGACAACTCTCTTTTCCTTGTTTTTTTTTTTCACTTTGTACCTTAAATATGAAGCGCCTATCTTAGATAGGCGATCTGTATTGTGTTAGGTATAGAACGCCCCTTTAAGGCGTTCTGTAGACTTTATAGATTTTATAGGGCACCCCCTCAGAAGAACGCCTCTAAGGCGTTCTATATTGTTAGTTTTAGGCGTTCTATATTCATGTTTTTGTAGTAGTGAAGGTTTTCTAGATTATTGTTAATATGTTAAGTAGGTTAATACACGAGATTTATTAGAAGCGTGGAAAGTTTGCTTGGTAAATAAATTAATAAGGCAAATATAAAAGATATATTTTAGAAAAGATTTTCTAAAAGATTTTATTTCTTAAAATCGGTTTGTGAAAAGATATGATTCTTTTAACAATATCTTTCTATCTTATTAATTTTCCGGAAAAGATTTTCTTCAAATACGATTTTTATAAAACCGTGTTTTAAAGATAAGTTAACTTATTTATCTTTTGGAAAACCTACTTGTTATACAAGTCATACTTGTATAAATAGTAGAGATCAAAATGGTTTAAGGTTTTTGCGAGTTTATATGTGGAGATTTTACTGAGCATTAATTGAGTAAGTTTACCAAGCTGCTAACTTGTCATATTAGTTTCGGATTTCGTGCATAGATTGCCTATCATATACTAGGTGTCATACATTTGTATTGGTTGGGTTATTTGGGTGAGTTTGTTATATTTTTACATCGCATACAGGTTGTGAAAGCTTCTAGTGTGAAGTTGAGAGTTTTGTACTTTGGCAGTACGAGTGAATCTAAGTGTAGTACTTGTATTTAAAGGTCTATGTTAATAGGTAGGGTCGAGGTTTTACTTCCAGTTAGGCCCTAGAAGGTTTCCTCGTAAAATTTGTGTGTCCTTGCAAGTTCCTATATGCATTGTTTTATTATTTCGTAAAAGTAATTATTAGGAACTCGATACAATTCACCCCCCCTCTTGTATTAATCGTCTCAACTAACATAAACACCCTCTTTTTGCCGCAAGTAAAAGTCACAACTTCATTCAAACGTAAAAATTCAGGTTCGCACTTCGTCATCAGGTGGCGTACGCAACAACTGTAGTTGCGCGAGCCTGTCACGCACAACGAAATCTGTTGCGCATGACATCCGCGCGCAACTCTTCCAATTGCACGCGACACCTGTGCAACGAATGTCTCAATTTTTTTTTTTGTATTATTACCCCCCAAGTGTGAAGATTTTTTCGTGATGTTCGAAAAAATTTGAACACTTAGAACGAATTATTATTTCTAAACTACCCCCAAGTGTTATGTATTTTACCGTGTTATTCGGTAAAACGCATAACACTTAGAATCTTTCAATTGAATGCTAATTAAAAATGGTTACATGAGTGAACGAGTTTATTCGGATTTCATATGTGATATTTTTTAAGTCGATCACTGTTTATTAATTGGCGAATTTTATCTCCTCCAATATCCATTAATCTGACGGCTCCTCCTGATAGGATTTCAATTACGCAGTAGGGACCTATCCAATTAGGTTTGAATTTTCCTCTTGGATCAGTTGGTGGACCCCTAACCTCCTTTAGTATAAAGTCACCTTCTTTTATATTTCTAGGTTTGACTCTTTTATTGAAATGACGCGCAATGCGCCTTTGGTAGACTTGTACATGATGCAAAGCTCTTAATCGTCGTTCATTAAGGAATAAAAGCTCTTCATACCTCGCTCTTACCCATTCAGCTTCCGGTAGCTTACTTTCAAGTAAGATGCGTAGAGATGGTATTTCCAAATCGACTGGTTGAACTGCGTCCATTCTGAAAACTAAGAAGTATGGAGTTACTCCTATTGATGTTCGTATAGACGTTCTATAACCCCATAATGCGAAGTGTAGTTTATTCGGCCAGTCTTTATAATTTTCCGCCATTTTCTTCATGATGACTGTTATATTTTTATTTGCCGACTCTACAGCTCCATTCATTTAAGGTTTGTATGTGGATGAGTGATGATGTTTTACTTTATAACGAGTTAAGAGGGTCTTGACTTCTGCTTTGATCACTAATTAGTTCATGTGGAACTCCGTATGTACAAAATATGTTTCGTTTGAGAAACTTTGCAACATGTTTAGAAGTGATATTCACGTAAGAAGCAGCCTCAATCCACTTAGTGAAGTAATCGATGGCAACTAATACATAGTCGTGCCCTCCTGCTCTTGTTGGAGAGATTTTTCCAATTATGTCAATTCCCCAAATAGAAAAAGGCCGAGGGAAAGTGAGATTGTATAGTTCGGATGGTGGAAGGTGTTGTAAATTAGCAAACATTTGGCACTCTGGACTTTTTTTAACATATTGTATGCAATCATGTTCCATAGTGGACCAATAGTACTCTTGTCGTGAAATTATTTTTGAAAGCTCATGTGAGGTCCACAAAACACCTTTGTGAGTATTTTCCACAAGGTGTGTGGCTTCCGGTTGGCCTATACATAATAAACTTTGACCATTAGGTCCTTTTTTGCATAATTGACCATTTACTAGACCATATTAGGCCGCAAGTGGTCGTAAGGCTCGTTGGTCTTTCGATGAAGTATTTTCGGGATATGTGCCATGAGTAATATATTGGAGGATATGATCATACCAAGGACTATCTCATTCGATGTCATTTCTTTCCTCTATTGTGTTGCATTACGTTGGTTCTTCTCTTCTATCAACGTATAATGGCATCATATTTAAGTGATCTGGAATGTTGATCATTGAGGCTAATTTTGCTAGCGCATCGGCAAATTGATTGTCATCCCTTGGGAGATATTTAAAATCAATATATTCAAAATGCTCGATGAGTAGCTCTAGGTGTGCTTGGTGATTTGGGTATTTTATACCCTGCCAAGTGGCCCAATCAGAGCATGACACGTGTCACTGGAAGGGGCACTTAGTTGGACCATCCAGATGGTGACACGTGTCGAGCAGATATTGCCCCCTGGGATTGGCAGCTTTCAAGGCCCAAATCCCAAGGGGTCCTTAAAAAACGGCGTGCCCTAATCCCTAGGTCACCAGATCCTAGGGAGGGCACACTTTCCAAAAGGACCCTATAAATAGGGACATTCTTACATTTATGACAAGACAGAGAATATACACGCAATACGAGACAACACGTCACTTATCACAGAGCTGTCGTTTTCAAGGAACACACAACACTTTACCTGAGCTTGGAATCCGAGCAGATAAAACTTTACTTCCGCACGTTTTTTTACCGAACGCTTACTAACTTAATCTTCGGAGGCGGACCACCGACCATCTGGCGGTCCGTTTGCTTTGCAGGTACAGGCGTCCTTTGCTGAATCCAGTCTCAGTGTTGTAACTCTCCCAAGGGACAAAAACCCCCGAAACATTTGGCGCCGTCTGTGGGGAGAGTACCTCTGAAATGGCTTCACAAGTACCTGTACCGAACCCAGAGGCCAATCGGCCTCCAGAAGACGTAGTGGTCCAAACGGATCATGACTCAGGTGACGACGCTGCGTCGAAACCTATGTGGATCCAAATAGATCCCTCATCTCTAAACGCATCCGTAGTAAGGAGAGGCAGGAGCGTCACCATGACCAGGCAGGGCCAAGCAAAACTGCTGGACAGCCAAAGAAGCCCTCAGGGCGGCTGGTTGATCCCTCCCAGGCGGCAGGATCAACTCCCGTCACTCGAGATGAACTAATGACACTCTTGAGCAGCCTTAGGGGTGAAATCAAACAACTCGCCTCAAAGAAGTCGCCTGCTCCTAGAAAGGAGCAGTCGGCCAAGAAGCCAGCCCAAGCTGGCAAACAGAAGTCGGTCAGGGACCGTCAGCCAACTCCTCATCCTGCCCCTACGGAGAAGGCCCGACCCCAATTTGACCTTACTCGGCTTCGTTTCCCATAAATGGGCACAAGAAAAGCCATTCAGCACATACAGCCGGATGGTAGCAAGAAAACATTCTCTGACGCTCGGCAATATATTGAGGAGAAGAGAACCCAGCTATCAGAGTCGGCTTCAACGTCGACTTATCATGATAGCTTTCGGAATACCTCTGTGAGGTGTTCCCAGTCTGTACATGAGACTCCAGCAAGCAACCCACGGGTTCAATCTGGTCCTCATATGATCCAGTCGGCCCAGTACATGGCACAACCATTGTACCAGGCGCCGGTTTTACCTTACATGCAACCTGCCCTCTTTGGAGGACAGGCGGCATACGGCTATCAGCCGATGGACTGGCAGCTTAGGCTGCAACACCTTGGAGATCAACCCTCTGCTTTCTCCAGGGAAATAACTGAATCCGTACAGCCGGCTAAAGTTAAAAACGTTCTGGTTGGAGCCAATGACGGGACCTCCAACCCAGAAGACCACCTGTTAGCATACACCCACCTCATGTATCTACAGGGGTTGGATGATGCCACATGGTGTCGTTGCTTTCCAGCCACCCTAAAGGGCATAGCCCAGCAGTGGTTTGGCAATCTGCCGGCTGACTGCATAAATAGCTTCAAGACGCTTGTGTTCTTGTTTGCTTCAAACTTCTCTATGAACATCCCTGCCAAAAAGACAAGTCTTGACTTGGGCAATGTACAGCAGGGAGATAGAGAAGGCTTGCGTTCCTACGTCAGGCGGTTCAATCTGGTCCGGTTTTACCTTACATGCAACCTGCCCTCTTTGGAGGACAGGCGGCATACGGCTATCAGCCGATGGACTGGCAGCTTAGGCTACAACACCTTGGAGATCAACCCTCTGCTTTCTCCAGGGAAATAACTGAAGCCGTACAGCCGGCTAAAGTTAAAAACGTTCTGGTTGGAGCCTATGACGGGACCTCCAACCCGGAAGACCACCTGTTAGCATACACCCACCTCATGT